AGAGAGACCAAAGGGCCCCCATTACATCAATTCAGGGCCCCCTGCAGGTAACTCAAATGGCTTCAACAACACACTTGGACATTGTGGAGGCATCGAGTACCATCGCTTCAGCAAATAGGATGGCCACGTCATATACGGGAGAGGTGGGAGTAGACCACCAATATACTCTGTGGGTGCGAGGTCAGGTCTGTAGCTCGGAAGTTATGGCTCACCAATTCAGCTAGACCCTGTTCGTGTCTCCACGTAATTCTCAGGGCCTAGCTCCACCATTCAGTGGTGCTCACCAAATGTATAACATTAGATGATTAGAATGAATCTTCTGCTAAAACATGGAACCATACACCGTCATATGGTATGTCTTTTGTGCATGTGGTGAGTAGTGGCGAGACGCCCTTTGGGCCTCTGTATGTACTCAGAAGAAGACAAAAAGAAAAACACAAGAGATCTACAGGCATCTTCATCCTAACCCATAACTGCCGACATGCAGACCCGAAGGCCAATCTTCAGCATATATTGGTGGCCGGCTGGACTTACTAAACATGAAGTGTGCCTCCTGCGCGATAGTGTGGGGCATGGCACTACTGGGCAATTATGCCCTTCTTGTAAATTCATTCACCACTGTGTGGGATTTGCAGAAGGAAAGGGGAAGTCCAGTTACCACACCCCACTAAAAAAGAGAACTGGAATGAGGCTCAATGAGCCCTATTTTCATAATCCACGATTTTGAAATTTTTGGGGGAGGGGCCTGCAGAATTCAAAATTCGGCAGCCCTTGCCCAAAAAAAAAAATTACGGGCCAAGGGCGCGGACAGTTTCTGAACTCGCGCGGCGAGTTGAACATTTTTTCCTTGGGGGGTGCCGTAGGAAATTACGAAACCCCTACTTTTTTCTTTTTTTTTTTGGACCTAAAATTTTCCAGTGCGCTGCGTGTGCGCAACTCCGCGCACCAACGTGCGCCGCAACTATGCTTTTAACCTAAGGAGGCCAGAATCTGAGAATTCAGGCCTCCATGGCGCGTAAAAGGGGCCACCTGTAAAAATTTGACCCACCCTAAGTGAAGACTGGGCTTGTAAAATGCTGCCACGCCTCTCGAGAGCCTGGCGTAAGGCAGTTGGTAAGTCAGGCTGGGCAAAGCCACACCCAACTAACCAGTAGGCCCAGTCTCCCAGTTAGTTGCAGAGGCTGAGGCCCAGGTGGGAACAGTCCACCCCCAGCCAGGCAGGGGCAGAAGCCTGGAAGTAACAAAAGGAGAGGAGGCCACAACATTCTACACCTGTCTCTTATACACATCTAGATGTGTGCTGAGGCCCAGGTGGGAACAGTCCACCCCCAGCCAGGCAGGGGCAGAAGCCTGGAAGTAACAAAAGGAGAGGAGGCCACAACATTCTACACATTCAGGCATTGGCTGCCAGCGCTAGCTCTGCTGTAAGTGCGTGCAGCCAGGCCCTGGGCATTGACAAAGGGGAGGAGCAGCCATGGGTAGCTGCTCCGCTTGGCAGCAGCCATAGCTGCACCAAGAGGGAAGAAGGTGGCGCTGGGGCTTGGGCGACAGGGGAGAAGGACAGTGGCAGGACTTACTTGGTGATGGCCAAAGAGCACAGTTGGGGTGGCCAGAATCTGCAGCATTGTTGGGTGAGAGGAGAGTGGACAGAAAGGATGTGGAAGACGGTGATGCTGACGCGCGTGCACGCGCACGCGCATGAGAGAGAGAGAGAGAGAGAGAGAGAGAGAGAGAGAGAGAGAGAGAGAGAGAGAGAGAGAGAGAGAGAGAGAGAGAGAGACAGAGGCGGTCGTAACATACAAGGGCTACTATATGGATGGTTGTATTGATGATTGAAGGCAAGAAGTTGGGCTTTCATTATCAAGAGAAGTCAATGTCAGTCTGTGGACTCATTTGGTGTGACTCGATTTTGTAATTCTGCTTCCGACTTTGCTCATATATGCTGGTTCTCTGCACAGAAAATTTGTGTTCTCATTGATTGGTTCTTTGCGGATGGCACCAAGAAAACCTTGAAATCTGCTGTGTTACGGACTCAACCAGGGATCGATCCCTGGTCCGCGAGTTACCACCCGCCAGGCTGCTATTTTTTTAATTTATTTTTTGAATTTCTGATCTCCGGTTCCTGACTGTTGGCGCCCGCGCCCTCTGCAGTTGGCGCCCGTTCTCAAATTCCTCCTTTGGCACTTTCAGATTCCGATACTTGGCGCCATCCGGCATTCTGGCGCCCAGACTCAGACCTTCAATTCTCAGTTCAGCCCTGAGGCAAATTGCAATTCTGCCCTTGGGACTGAACTTGAGTCCGGTACTTAAGACCGGACTCAAGCCCAGTTCTGGCACTCAGTTTTCAGTCTCAGTGCTTGTGCTTCAGTGTGACTTGCTGTGACATTGTGTTCAGAATCCAAGATTGCGACTTTGCGACTTTTGCCACTTTGTGTTTGCGTCCATCAAGTCGTGTCGAGTGTGCTTCGAGTTGAGCGAGTGTGTGTGTGTGCTCTCACTCTCTCTCTCCCTCCCAGCCTCGCTGTTCTGCCTCAGCCTCGTCACATGCTGTATCTTTTCAGGTGATTGTGCGGCAGGAAGGCAAAATGGACTTCGAGAAATCTGCTAACTAGCCCTTCGGGAAGCTTGGGGCAGACCGGAGTCACAATGCAATGATACACGTGGCTTGCAATGGGCTGTATCAACCGTGCTGCTGAGTACATTTTAGAAACGTTCGGTGCCACTGAATAACCACCACAAGAGAGCTACAAGAAGCAGATTGGGTCTGCATTAGTTGTCCCCATAACACACCCATAATATCCAGGGCTGTAATGTCATTTTAGAACCAGGCTTGGACCCCCGCATAGTAACCACTCACCTCCATGGCTGCCGCATTGCATAGAAGAAGAGTAACAAGCAGTTGATGTTGTTTCTTCACAACAGGATATATAATCGCTGCAGTGTGGACAAGAAAAAGGATATCAAGCACGTGTAGCATTCGTCCCACAGAGACAAAGGGCACAAGAAACGACCCACAGAGACAAAGGAAAGTCAAATTCAAATTTGCGTGTGCTCAGAAATGCATACAATGAACAGAGAAGAACACAGGCATACAGGAACAGGAACAACATTCCGTGAGTTCTTTATTCCTACCGAGTGAAAAAAAAAGTGCCATCACATTCCTGAACCAAACTGCATGAGCACTCCACCCGAAATTGTAAATAAATGTTGTGCGTATTGCATCCAACATACATAACCAGGAAGGGAATAGGAACCGGACTGACGCTCCCCAGCCCTCAGAAGGTGCTGTGTGTGACTTCCATCAACCGGGAGACACTGCAGTGTGGGCAAGAAAAAGGATATCAAACACGTGTAACATTACGTGACAGTTTGCCGCAAGTCTGTGCAGGCGGTACACAAGCAGACAGGTGCTCTATTCCCACAGATGCAATGACAAGCACATAATCAGTCTGAGATTTATGCTGTTCTCTGAGTATTTCTGCCTGCTGGTCTGATTTACCGAGATTTCAGTGAGCTGAGTGTGGATGCTGTGTGTTCGCGTGCATATAAGTCCCTATGTGATGTTGCAATGTGACAGACTAACTGTGTGCTCACCCTGTGTTCTCCTTGTCCCGGGAAGGGGAAGATTAGAAATTAGGAAACAGCAGGGACAAGACAGAAATTGGACGCTGCACCAACTTGGTAGAAAGGCCAGGACGGGCAGGAAGAAAGGATTCGTCAGGTACCCTGTAGGGAACTCAGGTAGGCCGAAGTAAAGTCCGGTACGCCTGAATAGTTCCGGTAGACTCCAACAGAAGTCTGAGAGTCCAGGCTGGTATCTAGGTAGGTTCTGGGCAAGATACAGGCCCAGTAGAGGATTTGCAGGCTGCAGTGATGTTCCCGCCTAAAAGAGGGAACTTCCGGTAGGCCAGTACCCAGGAGAGGCAGCAGTACAACATCCTAAGTGAAGCTGTGAGGCCGAGTTGCAATAGTATATATCATTCAGGCACAATGAGCGAAGGGTATCTGAAGCAGCAGTCATGCTGCTGCTCCATCCAGACAGTGATGTTAGGCAGAGCAGCTGCTGAGCGGTGGACCTGGAGGTCGGAGAAGAAGACCTCGCTGGCAAGCGCCAAAATGCCAGGCCATGGAGAAGGGTGCAGAGATTGAGGCAGAGGTGGAGTGAGAGAGGAACCGACATGAGAGACTCACCCATGGGTATGGTTAACCTTCATCTTCTCTTCTTTGTTGGTGCTGCATCTAGAAGACCCCTATGTGGGTTACAGTTGGTCTTTGACTTCAACCGATAGTATGGCAATGGTGAAAAGAGATGGGAGAGGCATAGAAGAGATTGCGAACATCCGTGATGAGCATGAATGTTCCGCCATAGTGCTAGCAGCAACAAAGGTGAGAGAAGTGTGGTTATGTTCGAAAGGAAGGCTCTTTGAGTGCTGGCAATAAGGACGATTACTCGGACATGATTCCGGTTCATTCATTCATTAGTGCATTGAACTGTTTATAAGAGGACCAGGAATAAGGAAGAAGAAGATGAGGAGGAGAGAGTTGAGCCGACGACATTGGTTCAACATGCGTAATTCCTCTTCTTCTTTCATTCTTTTCAGCCTGTTCCACTCTTTATCTCTCTCCACTTCTTCTTCTGAATTTCAGAAGCTCCTGCATTTTCTCGCAGATTGCCTATTTGCAAGCAAACATGCAATGAGAACAATAATAAACCAGATTGCAACATCTCAAAGAAGATCAGACATAATTTAGCAGAGTTGAAAGCAGAAAATCAAAGTGAAATGTGCACCAAATAGGACCCAGCAATGCACAATGTAGCTCTCCTACTGGCGGCCTGACCTCCCTTCCTACTTCCTACACTCCTATCAGTGTAGCCTATCTACATGCTACACTCTGTCGACATGTCAATTGCCCAATACTGCCTGAAGACTCTGGTCGCACAGGCTGCCTTGGCCACACCAGGTATGTGCCTTGTTCCCCGCTGCATCCCTTCTCTCCTCCTCGACCACCACCCCTACACCATTTAGCAAGCTTGCACCCAACTGACTATGGCTGGCACTTTCTTCTTCTGGCTGGCACCACAGCAGCATCTCCCCTACAGACGCAGCACTCAGCCACCGAACAAGCAGTGCTGCCGCATTGCCTGAATGCCCGAATGTGTGAGTCTGGGCGGCCTTAGTACTTTTAGAATGAACACAATAATTCAATGATTACTAATGTTCAATTATATTTAATACAGGGCTGTAAACCCGGTCCGACCGGGGGGTCCACCCCCAACCGGAACCGGGCCGGTGGGACCGGCCAGTCCACTGGGCCGGTTGCCCTCCGGTCAGCTATAGCCCATAGGCGAATACTGGCCGATTCAAATTTTTTTCGGGCCAGGAGGCCCCTGCGCAGGTTGTGGGGACCTCCTGGCCCTAAAAAAATTCAAAACGGGTCCGGTAGGGAAGCCTCCAAGTTTCGAAAAGGGCTGCCTCTCTGGACCGCTGATCTCGAAATATCCGTGGCCCAGATGAGGCCTCCCTTTTCAAAAATTGGAGCTGCCGTTCCCTCCCGCCTACTACTTCCCGCCTCCCCCTGACTCACCAACCGTCCCGTCAACAAGCCAATGCCCCCGCTGTCGTCGTCCGTCGCCGTCGTCATCGTCATGCAGCGAAGCCAGCCCCCCCGCCCGCCAGCGCGCCACAGGTACTTCTTCTTCTTCTTCTTCTTCTCCTTAAGTTGTGTGGAAGCGTAGGCGCGCGAGTAGACGAGCGGTACACACACACATACACACACACACACACACACACACAC